TCTGTCTGTCTGTCTGTCTATCTATCTGTCTGACTGCCTATCAATGACTCATAACACCTTTGCTGTAGCCCAGTGATCACTTAGAACACCTTAGCAACTACCTTAGTAAGCACATAGCAAGTAGATAGATGTTTACACCCTGTAAACTACCTAGCAATCACCTAAGCAAAAGTCTGAAATGAGGGTGAATAAGAAGGCTTTTCATTTTGAGGTGAACTGTTAAACTTACTCTTGAAAAATTCCTTTACTGACTGAGTTTGTCAGGGTGCTTTCACACTAGCACTTTTGGTGCACACCCGGGTTTGATTGACGTCAGAGTTCGGTACGTTAGAATGATGTGAACGCTGTCTTCTGAACTCGGGTGCACACCGGCGAACCGTACCTGAGTCCACTTAAAAAGGGTGGTCTGGGGTACGGTTCAAGTGAACTCCGGTACGTTTTGCTGCTGATATGAACACAATCGTTCCAAATCGTGGAAGTGAACCGCTATTAATGACATACTGTTTGATAAAAATGTGTGTTTGTGTGTGTTTCACTCGCTTTCCTGACGAGCGTGACTGACGCGCTGCGAGCAGAGCTGTGTATCTCATCTCTGTTCGCTTCAATCAGTCGAACTCGGGTTAGGACCAGGCAATTGAACCAAGTGTGAAAGCCCCCTCAGAGCGCTGTGTCCACAGGGAGAAATTTGAGTTATTTTAACTGGTGCCTCCGATTGGAAAGGCCTGTCAAGTAGAAAACACATTATCACACTGCTCCCATCTCCTCAGATTCCATCGACGGTTCGCTCCATCCATCAAGACCGCATTCTGTCTCTCCGCCAGCAGACGCAGTTCTTGTGGGAAGCGTATTTCTCTTCTGTGGAGAAAATTGTGCTCACTACATTGGAGGTAAGCAACTTCCTGATAAATTAAAACAAGACATGCAGCCATCAAGACCTAATGACTAGTTGTATAAATCCTGCCCAAACTTGTCCGGGACGCATTTCATGCTAAAAATTAACAGGGAAAAATGGGAAATTATATTTAGCAGAAAATGAAGCTAATTTTAGGACCATTAAGATATTTGTATTGTCATTTTCATGATTATTAAGCACATTTTCACAGCACAGTTGTCATTACTGTAATGCATCCACAATCGGATGTAGTTATGAGTTTTATAATTATCAGTATTTTTACTGATTGAATGGTAAATATTTAATGAGTATCAATGATTTATTTAGTAAAATTAGCATAAATACTTATTATATATAAATATTTTATTATTTAAATAACTCAGAATTACTATAATGTAAATTAAATCTAGCATAAATGGTCCTAAAACATGCTTAATTTTCTTTAAAATGAGAAAGCGTAATTTCTGGTTTTGCACAAACTCTTTTACCCTTCCACTTGACTGAAAAGCATGTGATCAGTCATGTCGGGAGCTGTTCCTGAATGAAAATGGAACTACATCAGGCCGGTCTCAGTCTCTGGTTTCACACACTTCTCCCTGGAGGAAGCGTTGCAGCTCTGAGATGTGCTGGATTGCTGTTGGTGTGTAAAAGGACACCCGTGTCAGCTCTTGAAGGGTGGATCTGTGAGACCGAGCATTAATACACGTCCGAATAAACATGGCTACAGTCCAGCTGGCCTCATGTTTATGAAAGTTAAACGCTTGTGAGATTTGAGCCTTGTTAATGTTATCGTTAAAGTGAGTCTGATGGATCTAATGAACATCAGTGGTGAGAAATGATTCAGAGATCATTCAAAACTCTTCCTTTTGCAGATCATCCAGGACCGTGTGTTGCAACATAATGCTCACAGCACTCTGATGTGGAATCGGTTGCCCGGAGGACTTTTCACTTTGCCCCAATACTCATCCTACCTAGGCGACTTCCCTTTCTTCTATGCTGTACTCGGTAAGCAGGCCACCGCTGTTTACTTTATCAACATGTTATTACATCTGCGGTCAGTGTTTTATATATATATATATATATATATATGAATTGTCTAGATGAAATATATTGATCATCTTCTTCACAGGTGTTAAACCACAGCAGAAGTTCACAGCCGTCATTCACGAGGTCACGCCTCTTGTATCTCAGTCTCAACCGATTTTCAATTTGCTAGTGGCTGTGGCCAAATCACAGTACTGTGCCCAGGTCAGTGTTTTTTTAGTATTATTTATGTGCTATTATAGTATTTTGAAATAGCTTTTGTTTTTATATTTTCAGTTTTCATTTAATTTTAGTTTAGGTTTTAGTCATTTTGTTATGTGCCTTTGTCATTTTCATTAGTTTTGGGGTTTTTAGTAATATTTCTATTTAGCTTTAATTCATTTTAATTTAGTTTATTTTCCCTAATTTTAGTACTTCAACTTAATTTATTTTTATTTCAGTTAGTTGCAAAATATCAGGCTTTCAGAAATATGGTCAAGCTCAAACACTTCAACTTCATTAATTCTAACTTTATTATTAAACAACTGCAAGAAAATGGAAACGATGGAAACAATAAAAACATCCACAAAGTTAAAAAAAAACTACTGTGATAAAATAAACTACTATAATTACCATCTTTAAATATTGTGAGTTTATGATCTTGTTTATTACGTTTGAATTCACTAACATTCAAAAGTAAGATTTTTTGGGGAAAAAAAGTACAGAAAGAAATTAAATTTATCAAAAGTGACAGTAAAAACTTTCATTCTTTTCAACATTGATAATAAGAAATGTTTCTTGAGCAGCAATTCAGCATATTAGAATGATTTCTGAAGGATCATGTGACACTGAGACTGGAGTAATGATGCTGAAAATTCAGCTTCGCATCACAGGAATAAATTACATTTTAAAAAATATATTCAAATAGAATATAGTTATTGTAAAGTATAATAATATTTCACAATATTACTGTTTTTACTGTATATCTCATCAAATAAATGCATCGTTGGTGATGTTCTGTAATGTTTTCAAAAACATTAAAGAAACGTAACAACCCTAAATGTTTGTGTGATAGTGTATATGATATAAAAATGTAGTGAATAGTAGAAATGACCCTGGTACAGCCTGATTGACAGCATCTGTGTGCTTGTATCAGATCATCGTCCTGTGGAACTGTGACAAGCCTCTCCCTGCGAAGCACCGCTGGCCCGCCACCTCTGTTCCAGTCGTCGTAATCGAGGGCGAGAGCAAGGTGAATCTCCACACCATGCTGTCTTTATATTCTCATCATATCAAATGAAGTGTCTGGTGTTACTCGCCTGCGATGAAAAATTATGGATGATGTATAGATTTGCTGCTGCCGTGGTTTTGCGCTCTGGCTTGAATGTTTTTCTTGCTATAGTTAGAGATATTGAGCATTTTCTGGAGGTTTCATGCATTGATTACATGTTTAGGTGATGAGCAGCCGATTTCTGCCCTATGAAAACATCAAAACAGATGCAGTCTTGAGTCTGGATGAAGACACTGTGCTCTCGACTACAGAGGTGAGCCAACAAATCAGAATGGTTCTAGGTTTTGTAAATTTTGCGTGCGTGTTGTATAAAACAAGTGCTCATGTTATTTCAGAAATTTGTACATTTGCTCATTAAAGTTACACTGTGTAACTTTTTATCCTTTAGTGGTTAAAGCATAAACACATTACTTGGTAATGATCACCTTGATTATTGCCTCATCAGTGTGAATATCACATGTAATAATATCAAAACTCAAGAGAACGAAATAAGGATATTTGAAAAAACAAGTAAGATTTTATATGGAAGCTTGTTTCTGCCACGGAATTTTAAAAAAATAAAAATTGATTACAAATTTAAACTCATCTCACAATGAGTGAGAAAAAAGTGACTCTCTCTTGAGTTTATCTATCAATTTGCAAATCTGATTTTTTTCCCCTCTGGAATTCTGAGTTTAAACCCCGCAATTCTGACTTTTTTCCCAGGATTCTGAGTTTGCACCCCCCCCCAATTCTGTTTATTTGCTCTCACCACGGAATATCAAATAAAACGTTAATTACGACTTTTTATCTCACAGTTCTGACTTTTTTCTTGCAATTCCGATTTTATATCTCACAATTCAGACATTTCTTCTCAGAATTGTGAAATAAAATGTTGTAATTACCTTTTTATTTTATTTTTATCCCTTGGCGGAAGCAAGCTTCCATACTTATATGCTGTTGTTTTGACTAGCTGAAATCGATAGTTTAAAAAAAAAAAAAAACGTCTCAAAAGTTTGGCAACACTGACATCAGACAAAGCGATTGCTATTCATATCAGATAACGATGAAAACTATTACTTAACAATAGGGATGCACCGATACCGATACTGCGCTCCTGTACTCGTACTTGTACTCTTAAAAATGCCCCGATACCAAAAGCCGATACCAAACAGCGTGTGAATAGAGCTGTGTTCAGAAAAAGAGACACTGAAAACAGAACAACTGAGAGTAGAATGGAGTTATTAGAGATTAAGGATGTCTATGAAGTACATGTAAGTAATTAATATAATGTTAAACATTCAATATTCACGCCTGTATAGCGGATGTGCCCGAGCTGATAAGCAGAGCGCGCTGAGTGGATTGAGCGCGCGGCTGCACAGATGTGCGAGCTTGTCGAGTGAATATCTCACAGACATCACTGGAAAGTTTGTAGTTCGGTCAGATATGTCAAAAGCAAGTAAATAAAACAATTACAAACAGTAATTTTTTAACTCAAGTTATTTGACGGTAAGGAGAGCGAGAGCGAGAGAGCGCGACACTTCTGTTGCATGATCTTGATTGCTGTTCGCTCCATTAGCGCATGCATTTGGATTAAAACTAAATCGTAAATATAAAACAAACAAAAATTATAGGCGCAGCATTTATTTTAAACGTCAAGCATACACAACTTTATTTAAAGCAGAAGTGAAACTAGCAGACTGGGTGAAATGCGCTAGGCTGTAAGTGTCTCTCTCAT